TCCATATTATAGTAACTTTCTATAACTTAGTTTAAGTTACTGAACAGCAGCTTAGTTGCTCTTGACGCCGCTCTGCCGGGAGGATTTGCTGCATGATCCGGGTGCGGTCCCTGCAGTGACTTACATCATTCCCCCCTACACTTCAGGGTTTAGGGTATAGGGATTAGGGTATAGGGATTAGGGTTTAGGGTCTGGGGTTTAGTGGTTTAGAGTTTAGGGATTCGGGTTTAGGGATTTGGGTTTAGGGTTTAGGGATTAGTTTTTTTTAGCACTCCTTTTGGTCCGCTGCAGGCAGTCAGAACAAAGGCCATGTTGGCCGAGGGGGCTCCGTACCCTTCACACCTCCGACTTGAAGTTGGCACCCTTTTCGCATGCTTTTGATCCCTTGTTTTTTGAAGCCTGATTTTCCTCTTCCTCTTAGGGATTTAGGGTTTAGGGATTAGGGTTTAGGGTTTAGGGATTAGGGTTTAGGAGGTTCGTAGTGGCAACAACTCCTGAGGATAACATTGGACTGTTACTCTGAGAGTGGACGACACCAGTGTCATCTTCAGGGGTGAGGATTTGGGGTTGAGTGATTCAGGTTGGAACTGATACGCCAAAGGTATGATAGGAACATCTTCGCATCGACTCTAGTAAGCCCCCAGGAGTCAAGTTCAGTGCAGCCCAACCGTCCCATGAACCCTAAACCCTAAACCCTAAACCCTAAAACCCTAAACCCTAAACCCCAGGAGTCAAGTTCAGTGCAGCCTAACCGTCCCATGATGCGATCATGACATGGAGATTTACAGAAGTGAGGCTCAAAGCCCCACAGCCTTAACCCGCTACAAAAGCCATCATAACCCCTAACCCTGTATGTCCCTATAGCACACCTATGACCTCCTTCAAGGAGTTTAGACTATGGCTCATATAACCCCATATTTTTTCAATTATTACATATAACCCCATTCCTAAACCCTAAACCCTATAGCCACTCTAATCCATAGTATTCCATTTAAAGACGCGAGGATCTTTTTTGGAAAGTCGTTGCCTCGAGGCGAGACCCCACCATGTGGGCAACTTCTCCCGTTTGCTGGTTCCTAGACCAGAAGGGATTATAGCGATTGTGTAGGAGGTTTGGTTTTGTTTTTTTACAACCCCTCGGACTTCTGGGAATTGGGGTTTAGGGTTTAGGGCTTAGACCTGACTGGGTTGCTGTCAAGGAACTTAAATTAAGTCACCATAATGGGTATACATAGTAAGTAATAGGGCTTCCTGAATATAGTAACTTAAAATGAATTCCATAAAAACAACCCAGCAGAAGGGATTACAGGGATTGTGTAGGGACGATACAGGGGTTAGATAGGAACATATAGGACTCTATAGGGGTGATGTAAGGGCTTTTAGGGCCCATGCATAGATGGGTTCTGGTTCCTAAACCAGAAGGGATCACAGGGATTGTGCAAGGACTATGCAGGGGTTAGATAGGGACTCTCTAGGGACTATATAAGGGTTATATAGGGCTTTATAGGGGTGATATGAAGCTTCTCAAGGACTATGGCTGGATTGGGAGTGTACTCCCCCAAGCTAACATGGACCCCCGTGTAGCTTAGTCTCCCTGGGGCCTCCCAAGGCGGGAAGTAGGGCGTAAAGGGTCTTTATCAAAATCAGCCCATCCACTATGAACCCCAAACCTATGTTGTCCTGATTACCTGGGTCATGAACAAAAAACTGTAATTTTGAGAAACTCAGACCAGCTAAGGGCTATTGGATTAGGGTTTGGGTGTCTCAGGGACTTTGTGTTTAGCAGGGTGTAGGGCACGTTAATGCGCGTTATCGAGGGATTTCAGGTTTGAGGGGTTTGGGGTCTCAAAGTTTGGGCTCTTGCAGTTTGTGACGTATTGCTTGCGGGAAGTTCTAGAGTTCAGAGTCATTGCATTTTGGAACGGTCTAGGGCTGTTTTGGTTCTGGTGCAGCGCTTGGGGTGTAACCGTAACTGGGCTGATGTTGTATGGTTTTGGTGGACCCCCCCCAGTAATAGTGACTATGGGTGATAACAAGGATTATATTAGGGTCCTATTATATTCCTACTATACCACTATTACAAGGTGGGAGGTCCTCCTCTTATATTCCTATTATAATACAGTAGTTTCCATTTTCTTTTCCATTCTCCCTATATAACCCCAATAATATACCCCATATTATATACCCCAATAATATACCACTATTACAGGCTGGGGGGTCCTCCTTAAACCCTAAACCCTAAACCCTAAACCGTATGGTCACCGCGGGCTTTCCTCCCCTCTGTGAGTCCTCACGGGATGCTGCTTCAGCGGTTCAGGAGGGCCCCCCGGGTATGCACACGGTTTAGGGTTTAGGGTTTAGGGTTTAGGGTTTAGTTTAGGATATTGGGGTTATATTGGGATAATGGAAAATAAAATGGAAACTACAAGGATTATAGGGGTAATATAGGGATTATAGGGTATATATATTGGGGTTATATTGGGATAATGGAAAAGAAAATGGAAACTACCATAGTATATTTGGGTTATATGGAGACCCTCCAATGTAGTTCCTTTTTGGGTTTGGTATGGTTTTTGGGGTTAGGATTCTTATTAGGACTACCAAAAAGGTACTACATTGGAGGGTCTAGGTATTTCTTATCGGAAGTCGAACGGCAGACTAGACTGTGATCTAAACTCGAATCCCTGAACTCAAGCCCTAAACCCTACAGCTAATAAGAGGATTTTGATAACCTCAACCCGCAAAATTGAGAGCGCTGTAACTACAGGTTATGTCGGGATATCAAAGCCCTAAACCCTAAACCCTCAAGCTCGACTTGACAGTAGAAATTACATACGGCTAACGCCCACCAAAGTAAAATAAACAACAAACCGCTCAAAAGTCGGTCAAAAATCCGGACACGAACACTACACAACAACCCTAGACCCTATAAGCCCTAAACCCTAAACCCTACATCCCCTAACCCTATATACCCTAAACCCTATATGCCCGGAACCCTATATCGTACTGTAAGTCTCCCGGCCTGTGGGGGTGGTCCCGCTCTGCACGAAAAAGCAAACCGAACTGCCTATCACGACGAAGTCGCCATGGCGCAGCGGCTTTGGCTCCTCAGGGATATCACCACGGTATCCTTGAAAACAAAGAGACGCATATAGATATATCTATACATAGCGGAATGAAGAACAGATGAGAGACCTACCTCAAGATTGTTCGGACACCACGCAAGTAATCCTGAACCCCTTAACTCATTCCAGATATACCCCCAAAGCTTCTTCAACTTTCGCCTGAACACTAATTTCCAAGCCATAATGGAAACAACAATGGTTAAATGCACCCTATACAAGGGTGTGTGTGTGTGTGTGTGCATATGTACATATAGCTATGTGTATATATGTATATACACAAATTTACGCCTCCAGCCTTACAGCTGCCCTGCAGCTCTCCCCTGGCTCCCCATGACTCTGTCAGCACACTACTTATGTGCCCCATACCCTCAGGCTTCAACCCTAGCCCTAAACCGTAAACCCTAAACCCTAAAGCCTCAAGCCTCAACCCTAAACCCTAAAGCCTCAAACCTAGACCCCAAACCCTAAACCCTAAAACCCTAATAACCCTAATAGCCCTAATAACTCCAATAACCCCAATAACCCTAATAACCCTAATAACCCTAATAACCCTAATAACCCTAATAACCCTAATAACCCTAATAACCCTAAACCTTAAACCCTTGCATGTGTTTGTTTCCTGCCCGGCTTTGGAACAA